TCAGGACCTCCTGATACTTCAATGAATATGATCTCCTTGTTATTAGAAACTTTCATACCAACACTATCTGCTTTATTGAGTGTTAAATTGAATCCCGGGAATAACACCTTCATTTCTTTGATACAGTCAAGTTGTACCTCAATCCAGTTGAATATATATTCTTTATAAACAGACTGTATCACCTTGAATAAAGGCACGATTCTTTCCACTGTGTACTTTCATTCCCCAATATAACGGTTTAACGGACCATCGCTGGTCATTGAAAAACTGAATTAAACAATGTAAGTTAATATATCTTGCCGAGAAAGTAGACATGTAAAAATCCACCCACAAGTCATAAAGAATGATCTCACAGATCTTCTGAAATTGATGGTCAGGGGTCAGTGGAGTCATGACAGTATTTTTGAATACATCCTTTCCGGACTAAGTGGGAGAATTTTTTTAATGTATATTCAGATATAATGTGTAAAAACTTCATGTTAACTTACTGATAATACATTAAGAAGCCAATCATGAACAGATCCTGGAATTATATCAACTTTAATTTCTTTCATTATAACACACTGCTGATTAATGACTACTGAAAAATGGTTATCCAGATATTTTACAGAATCTGCGAAAAGGGTAGGTTTTTGAGGAGTGGTCATCACAGTTTTGCTTTGCGATCTGGGAGGAGGTGTTTCAAACTGATGGAAACAATATTACTCAGGTATAATTCTTAGAAAAAATTAAGTTACATGAAAATTAATCTGACATCAACTTACACTATCATCATTTGTAGATCCTTTTTTACCTGAATTAAATATTGTAAAAAAAAGAAATGATAATCATTAACTTTTTAAAGTAATTAAAATATATTTTTATCACATACTTTGTTTGGTTTTTCTACGTAATCAAAATCCGTTTCCTCTTCTGATGAGCTTTTAGTATCTACTTTGTTTTTCCATTTCCTTGATTCCACTTTAGAATAAGATGGTCCTCCTTCCTCCTGATGGATGGCATAAAAAATAACATTTTTTAGTAATAAATCCTTTCCATAGAATAGCTGTAAACAAATTATGTTCATAATTGCAAATTTAGCAACCTCGTATTCATCATCTTTTAATTCATTGATAAGCATTTGATTTGTACGGTATCCCTAATAGAAATATTAGTTAGACCATTGTGGAATTTTTCCCAAGACTATTTCAAAGCCTACCTTCAAAGCTTTAACTGTGGAGGCAGATGTTACATTAAACTGTAAGGCCATATCAAAGTCATGTTCTCCTTGTTCCTTTTGCAGTTTAACAATAAATTCTTTTACTTCAGCTGTAGAGAATGATTTCTCGAAATCAGATAGAATCTTGCTCAATTTGTTGGTTACGTTTATATGATTGTCACGACTTTCTTTGTATCTCTGTAGTGACACATATATATTATCCCTAAGAACATTGATGGAATCTACATATAACTGACATTTTGATTTTGTATACTCCAAAATAGAAATAATTGACCAATGCCTGTATTTTGTATTATTAAGATATTCTAAAATAATAGACTCAAACATCTTGAAAAAAGGAAGAGATGATAAGTTGTTAATTCATGTAAATAACTCTACATATGAAAAACTAACAGGAAACACAGTCAGCAGTATACTGGTACACAGCATACAGAGATCAGGCCTTAAGCACTTGCACTCAAGTACTTCCCTGTAGACTGCCTCCAAGCATCTGACACAGGACATATTGGCCACATGCCAGTAGGTATACATAATGCATTCTAACAACTAGCATGCAGGAATCAGTCCTTGAACACGTTCTCAAGTACCATCTTGCAGACTAGCATCAAACATCTAATGCAGGACGTATTGGCCATACGCTAGTAGGAATGCACGCAACTGATAGCATATGGTGCCAATCATCTATAGACATCAAATGCTGCGCCATTTGGTGAAATTTTTTCATGAGAATCATTCCTTTTATGGAACCGCGATTTTT